TTTCTTTGATTGGGTTGACAAATTAGAGCCGAACCTAGATTAAGGTACCATTATAGAGTTCAGATGGATTAAGTTACATACCCTTAAACATCTCCTTTAAACTGTGGAATCATTTTAAACTGTGATCCAGCGAACATCCCTCAGAACACACCAAGTTCGAGGTAACAGCGATTGTCGTCAAGACTACCGGACTAGGGAATCGATCATTTTGGTTGTGGTAGCAAAAGATCAGACGATTGTAGGCACAGCAAAACAAAAGCGGAAATTAGGCACCAATGAAAGTAAATCCAGCCGCCATTGAAAATACTTGTACAACAAGTTAAGCAGCGGAACCAAAATCCATGGAAACCGCTCTTGCTTCACTAGTAATTTGAACCAAAAAATGGGGTCTTTAGGTGTACTCGGCTAAAACTGTGCTTAAAAAATGTATACTGGTGGCTTCAAGCTCGATAGAGAGGTTGTGGGAGGAGTCTTCTCTCCAGAGCTGGAGATAGAAACATCTTTTCGGCTTCCTGGTCACTGCAGTGTATACCAAGCAGAAGTGCTAGCCATGCAGAAGGCTCCTTGCTCCCTAACGAGAAACCCCAAGGAGAAAAGACAGGACGACTATTGTGGAAAGGCAACATTTCGGAAATCGCCACATTCACCTTCTTTCAGTGGGATTCGATTCAACGACCCCAGTGATAGGACTCATACTGTAGAAACCACTACGCATGCGCTGCAAAGTAGGAAGTAACTAGCAGAAAGCCGCATGAAAAAAAAAGAACAACTCACAGCTAAACGCATTATAATTGATCAATTTACCAGTTTGCAATGTCAACTGGTGCTAACAGCGAAAAAAGCACTTAAGTAAAAAAAGAAAAACAACAAAAATAATTACGACACCAACTAGCCAGCGGACGGAGTGCAGCATAAATAGCTTCATCAGCATTAAGAGACGCAGCAGCCTAATGACATTGAGCTACTGCGACAAAAATAACAACAACCAAAAATAAATAAATAAAAATATTGCAAGTTACAAAAGATTGCAACGCAAGCGACAGACAATCTTTTGCTCGCCGCTTAATTTAATTGGCGGAATTCGCAATTGACAAGCGACGTTCGCTTGATTTATGCACTCGTGCAGGCGCATAACTGTTTAGCAAAAGTGCAATTGAATATTGCTGCCTGATACATAGATACACGACATTTTGTTGACCTTGTCAACATGTTGCCGCAACATGTCAAACATTTCTCGCTCCACTTGGCATGCAGCAACACACTCGCTGCAATAATTGCGTTTGCGTCTGTCGCTTCGGGCTAGAGCGTGTGCAATTTAATGCCGCTAGTAGTTAACTGTTGTTGTTGTAGTTGTTGCTGCTGCTGCTAGTGCGTACACGTTAAGTTGACAATTGACTGACAAATATGAAAATTACCGCGCTCAAAATAGCTAACTGAATAGCCGGTTGACGTGTCAATAAATGCGCGCGACATGCGGCACTGCGGTGCGGCGCTGCAATGCGTCGCAAAATTGAAAAGAACCGACGCGTGCAAGATTGTTGTTGCTGCAATTGTTGTTATTTTGTGGGAAATAAATATATGTACATATATGTATGTACATGCGATCAAATGCACGTACATAAGTATTAATGCACACATGTATCTACTTATGTGCATTAAATGCTTGAGAATTGCTAGTTAATTGAAATCAGTGAATGATAAGTGAAATTGATATGAAAATTTCTGTAATCGACATGAATTATTGAGCAAATTGGAAGAGACATGGAACGAGACGGAAATTGCCAATGCGACGATACATGTATACAGACATATTAAGAAGTACTTATGTATGTACATATACATATGTATTTCCCGCCAGCTAGAACCCGATAAAGTGCATTTAAGGTATAACGACCCAATTTAGATTACATAATTACTTTATTCGTAACCAGTGATAGGTACTATCACAAATAAGCTCGGGTTAGAAGCGAGAGTGTGTAAATTAGACTAATTGCTTTAAGATTAGCGATGTGCATCGCCCATCCAGCAGTACTGGAAAGTAAGCGCTTTTAATCACTTCGCCCTGAAACCTTGACACAGCACTCCACACGGGCAAAACGCTGCTCATCACTGCCTTACAGTCGGCTGGAACTTTTAGGGCCTCTCTAAATTTTATATCAGTAATCGCCATATTAAGCTTTCATTCATTCATATGCAATTTTAACAAAAGTTCAAAAAAGCAATAAATTTTATATTTAAAAATTTTTTTTCTTTTTTTTTAATTTAAATTTCGTTTAATTACAACATTTTGTTGTCTTAAAAACAAATATTTTTTTTTAATTTCATTTAATTTTTAGATTTTTTTTTTTGTAATTTAAAGTTATTTCCTAATTCTCTATATTAGAAGAAAAAGATAGGAAAAAATAATTGAGAAAACTTTTTTGTTTACTTTTTTATTTGTTTTGTATATTTTCTTGTTCAAATAGAATAATATACATATATATATATATTTTTTTAATTCATAAAATTTTTGGGTACATCTTTTATTTTTTTATTTTTTTAATAAATATCTTTAATTTTTCAACTTCATTTTCTTTTTGGTTTTCAATTTTATGGTTTTAAAATATATACATATATTTTTTAATTGAATTCAATTTTACTTTTCTATTTTTTACTTTTTTGAATATTTTAATTTAATTTTCATTTTGGTTTTAGATTTTATTGTTTTATAATAAAAAAAAATTCTTATTGAATTAAAATTTTAGACACTTTCTAATTTAGTGGGTTTTATTGTTTTTAGTATTTTATTATTCAAATAGAATAATATATTTCTTAATTTCATTAAATTTTTAGGAACGTGTTTTACTTTTTTTATATTGTTAAATAAATTTATTTTTTTTTTCAATTTACTTTCCTTTTTGGTTTTAGATTTTATTTTTTTTTTTAAGAAATGTGAACTTTCTTTTGCTTTGTGTGACAACATCAAGGTGTACGCCACAATTCGGAGGAAAAGCTCGGCCAAACACTAACATATATGTAAGCGCAAATCTATTATTATTATTAGTAAAATTTTTAATTTAAATTTAAAAAATTGGATCTAATTTTTCTGTAATGTTATTTTTCGACTTGTTTCAATTAAAGATAAAAAAAAAAACACTCAAACAAGGTAAGAAGAATGTATCAACTTCTAGCAGAGAGTAAAAAAGCTTCCGCCCCATCCTCGATCATTATGGACATATTTGGTGTCTACCTATGTGGCACCTTCATGCTCATATCGAATTCCCATTAAGATTTCAGCGAACGAAGTAATACTTCGTTTTTGTATTTAACCGCCGGATATCAAATTACAATTATAATATATTTCGATCCATTTACTTTAATTAAAGTTTGTGTACATGCATAGATAATCTATAAAAGTAAACATAATTAACTCACCTTGTGGGCTTTGATGAGGGCGCCCTCTGAACAAGCTAATGTGACGTCCACCAGACTCTCGTCCTGTAGTAATTGACTAAACACCCCTAACAGGTTGGATTGATGATTGTTCCACCTCAAGCAGTAGTGCTCACTGCCCATGTCGGTGACAGCTTACGCTGCTGCAATTGAAAAGAGCGAACAAAATGTAAAAAAACATCAATGTGGAAAAGTTTAAAAACGAAAACTAAAATTGGCTTATATAAAGATAATTACATGAATGAAGACAAAGGAATTTATTTATGCAAATTAAAATAATAAATATTTTTGTTGAAACACCGCTAAGAACCCAGCTACAAACATAATCGCCCTGCTCTCTAGAAAATTTAGTAATTTACGCGCTTTGCGGAAGTTCTCCTCAAGCCGCCGCACTTTTTCACGTTTTCCACCATCAAATAATACTACTTGCACTAGTAAATTATATTTGGGTTGTAGTTTCTTGTTTGTTTGTTTGTTTCGTTGTTTTTTTTCTTTTTAATTTTATTGAATGCACCGCTTGCGCTGGCGAAATGTGAATGTGCAGCGTTGAATGCATAAGCACCTGGGATGCGAATGTTGAAAGAATGAATGAGACTGACTGAATGAATGCTTGGCTGCGTGGCTGTATGGGGATCGACGCGTTTAAATTATTGCGCGCATGCGTGTTTACATACGAGTGAATATTGCAATGTAATACTTATTGCATATGTCGTGTACATACATACATACATACATACAAACATAGCTACTAAATATGTGCATGCGCGCGAATATGTAATCACACTTGTTTGCAGTTGCGCTTTCGTGTTGCTGTTAAATTGTGATTGCGCGTGAGCGGCGGTGGCCAAGGCTGGCTGCTGGCGGCTGCTGGCGGCTGCGTGTGCGTATGCGTGTAATTGGCAGGCGGTCTACGCTGGCCAGGCAGGCTGGTGGATCGCATAGATGCAAGTTAAGCGGCGAATGCATTGGCACAAAACACGTGATTAATCATACTTATGGAGATGCGGATATGCTTGGGAGGTATGGGTATGGTTACATGCAATACTTATGTACATACAGAGGTCGATACATCTGTGCATACTTATGTACATACTCGTACAATGTAAGTATGCAATACTCAGCGTGCGGTGCGTGCTAAATATACAATATATGTATGTAGAAGGCAAAGTAATGCAAAAAAATTTTGCAACTGTGGTGTTGACTTAATGGTCTGTACAAGGGTAATGCAATTGTGTTTATAATAATTTTAATTTCCTTAATGATTTTATATAGCGTTTTCTAAATGATTCCATGTTCAATTCAACATTTAAATAATTCGGCAATTAAAATAGATATGTTGGAAATAAAATACATAAGTAATTGCATCACTGCCTTCCTAAATAGCTTTATAATTGTGTAAATTCTTGGAAGAATTAACAATTCAATTATATCATGTTTTCTTCTATTCTTATTAAATTTAAAAATGCATATATAGACACTTATCGTGAAGCCTTGGTACGGTAATTTTTAGCCACTTGAGACTTGCACATTATCAGACTAAAATTGAATGGGCCATAAAACTGTATACTCAAAAAAAACTCTAGCACTTCTAAGAAAAAAGTTTGAAATTTGAGTGAAAATTTGTTTGTATTTTTTGTGTTTTTTTTTGACAAAATTTTAAACTTGGTTTTATATGGGTTTTGTTATAAAACTGTATTTTAATTGAAAATTCTTAAAAATAGATAAATAAACAGAATTATTTTCCTGGTAAAAGGGACAATGGCTATCTTAGAGGGATTAATATTAAGCCCCACCACAGCACATTACCTCTTAGCTAGGTTAAGTCCTCTTTGGACGATGTCGCAGAGGGTAAACGCGAACTTGCCCCTAATAATCCCTATGTCATCCGCGTACGCCCTATGTCAGTGAGTTTCTGCAGGAATTCGCTCATAACTAAACTCCACAGTAGAGGAGATGGAACCCCTCCTTGCGGGAAACCTTTTGCTGTTTGAAGTTCTACTACGCTGTCGCCGACTGCAGTTTCAGCAAATCCTGGTATGGAACAGCCTAGCTATCCATCTGCGGATGGTAGACTGCACAATGCGTTTCTAAAGTTCCCGATCGACGCCCACATGAGATGTGTTATCGAAAGCCGCTTCTATGTCGGGAACGGCGCAAAGCATAGTTTCAGCACACTCAAGGACACGCTGTATATCCGTGGTCAGCGCATACAGAGCAGTATCCGTGGATCTACCCACCCTCTACGCATGCTGAATTGGATGCAGAGGTACCCCTGCAGCTAGCGCTAGACAATCCCTGATTATGTCGACAAGGTGAGGTAGTAGGAGCTGGTCACCCTGATTCAGTAGCACTGGACTGATGCCATCCACCCCGGGGGATTTGTACCGCTCAAACGAATGGCATCAGGGAAGTGCCATTCCAAGAATAACCATCGGGTAGCCTAACGGCTAGTCTAATTCTGGTGTTGTTCTTCCCCAATGCTTTGTGCAGTCTAGCAGCCGCAGGGGTAGATGAGATGCCCTCACAGAAGGTACTGAATGAAGCTGCTATGCTTGGCTTGCGCGAATAAACATCGCCCTTACCGAAACTGGGGCCTTAGGATAGAATAAAAGTATGACACATGAAAAATATTAAAAAACAAAAAATAGTTCAAATAAGAAACACCCAAATGTACATACATACATACTTGAAGTGGTGGAAAATATTATAGCCACACCACATATTGACAAGGTTTCACATATTTTCTGTTATTTAATTTAATAAATAAATATATAGTTCATTCTTAAACAAAACCCGTATAAATACAACTTTTAATTAGATTTATTAAAGCCGTTTTCTACAGTAAGTTTTAAAATTTAACTGGCCTTCAAAAACACAAATTTTATTCTGAAAATTTTTTTTTTTAGGATATACACTGGCAGCAGATATAATAGACTCGTCGTACTCGTCAACAAAAAAAAAAATTGTCAAAACTCAACGTTATTTTCTAGCCACTTAATTCTGAATAAAAAGTTTAAAATTTTTTTTGAAAATTTGTCGATTTTTTTATAATTTTTGTATAAAGTTTAAAAAAGGGATCTATTTGATATTTGTTGTATAGCTAGCTTTATAAAAAAATATTAAACTGAAAACAAACCATGAAATAATAGCCAAAACTCTTCAAGGTAAGGCGAGCCTATTATTTCTGCCGCCACTGTACATATATATAAATTTTAAAACTTATTTAGGAAAACCCCCTTAGAAAGATTTTGAGCAAAAGTTAGCGTTGCTATTTTTGATTTTTTTTGTCGAAGATTTTACGGCGTGTATGGTAGTTTTTAGCCATTTGAAGCTTGTGTTTTTTGTAGCTGCAAAACTACCTACTCAAAATCCTTCTAAGCAATCTAATAAAAAAGCTCGAAAGTTTCTTAATATTTTTCAGTTTGCAAAAAGTTTAAAACTTCGATTTATAAGGTTTTTGTTAAAGAATGAAATATTTTTCTATAAAAAAATAAACAACTGAAACAAAAAGGAACAGAAAATAAAAATACTTGCCAATATATGTTACGGCTATAATTTTTTTCGACCACTGTATGTAATATAATAAAAATTTTATCTAAACATTCCTAATCACATAACACCCGCAACTAGTTGTTTAGCGTTAGCAAGCGTGAAATTGGTTTATATTTGTAAAACAACTGGTACGGTAAAATGAAATCAAATGATACCCCCGAGAGAATATACACACGCACACAATGCCGACCTTTAATTACATCGCCCACGAATTAAACAACAATTCATCATTTACGTATGCAATGCACGCGCAAATGTACACGCATAACAACAACAACGCACACACAATAGTGCATAATACGAGTATGCACTGCTATTGATTGCACTGATACGAAGAGTACAAGTGCGCACGCATGCGCAGTGACCAACCGACCGGTAGAACGAACGTCATCGTGTGGCTGTCGATTAGACTGCCGGCTTGGTAATTAAACATGTTCGTTGCATGTGGTAACAAATGTTACAACAACTACAATGTAAATACATACATACATTAATAGTGAGTGCAATCGCAATGAAAGTACTTTTGCGGCAACAAAAAAAGCTTAACTGGTTTATTTCTTATTGTTCATATGTAGTTGGGTTTCGTTGGCTACTTTTTTTTCAAGTAAGAAACAACACTGCTTGAGTCATTTCAATTATCCGTGTATATACACCGTTAAGTTTTACTCGTAGAGATTCGCGTCTTAGAAGTGAAACATGAAGTAAAATTATATTCTAAGTTTCTCAAGCCCAAGTCGTGGTTATAAAGCACAAAAGAAAAATAAATACAAATAACAAAAAAAAAAAGGTTAAATACATCATAGTTATCAGACCGATTGTAACCCATTGGGTTCTGGTCTCTCTCTATACAAAGGGAACAACAAGGCAATAATCGGAAAAGCGCAAAGGCTGGACACACTGGGAGCGAAGAGTAGCGTAGCTCATGATGGGCTTGACATACATTTTTACCAACAATCGCTCAAAAATTTTCTTCAAGGTGTGGCTGAAAAGGGAGCCATAAGATTTAGTGAGGCCAACGTGTGAAAGCCAATTATCTATGGACCGCGGCGAGCAATATTGGTTTAAACTAAAAGCGGTCGACTTAATTGATTATAAGCCAGTAAAAACTGCATTGGTATAAGGTATCCAAACAAAAGAGGAATAAAACGAAGGCTTACCAGTGGCATATGATGGCCTATCATCTGCGCTCAAGATTCAAAAGTTGATGATTGTGCGGTATAGGCGGAACAGGGAAGACCTTCCGAAACTCAATAAATTTGAATAGTCTCTACCGGGCACTGTACATTTGCCCCGATGCCCTAACGATGGCAAATATAAATAAGTCCTCTCTACAGAAGCTGCCGCAATGAGAGTGAGGAGAAATTATTTTAACTTTGTTTTTAAGCGGCGGCCGCTGTAGTGTACTGGTAATCAGTGCGCGCTTCCACTCCGCAGGGCCTGGGTTCAAGCCCTGGTCAAAACAACATCGCATTGGGGTTCTTTTTAAAAAAGGAGGAAAAATCAGGGACCGCGATAGTTACGACTTTTATTAAAAAAACGCCCTTTAACAATTATTTTTTGACTATTATTTAATTACCCCTTAAATAACCGT